CCATCCATGCTGTTACAAAAGGTAAAAGTTCCTTTTTTTATGGCCGAGTAGTATTCCAATGTGTAAGTACCACAGTTTTTTTTAATCCACTCATCTACTGATGTGCACTTGGGCTCTTTCCAGATCTTGGCTATTGTAAATAATGCTGCTACGAACATAGGGGTGTATATATTCTTTTGACCCAGTGTTTGGGGATTTTTAGGATATATTCCCAGAAATAGTTTCATTTTTTAAAATAGCATTTAACTATATATAAGGAACATTTTCCCAGCTTAGAAAAGCAATTGAGGGAGAAAATCTATATAAAAGCGTAATACGGAAATGTACCTGACAGTGGAATGACTGTTTGCTATGATGCACACTGACCACCAGGGGACAGACGCTCAACTCAGGAGCTGCCCCCAGCCTTCCCTGGACCCCCCCACCCCCACCCCATCTGGGCCTGCTGGCCAACCTCTTCGATCTACCCCCTGGCTGGCAGGCTGATGGGGAACGGGGAACCAGGGGGTGGGTCGCAGCGGATGTGGGTGGTACCAGGCCAAGGTCGTGCGAGCGAGCAGGGCCCCAATTGCTCCGCTGGTTGCCTCACACACACAGTGACCAGTGGCAGGGTTTGGGCTGGTGAGCAGGAGGAAACAGCCAACTTCTCAATTCTTCCCCCTGGCTGCCCGATGGGGAATGGGGAACCGGGGTGGGTGGCCGCGGACGCTGGTGGCTGCCGGCAGCCAGGGAATATGGGCCCTCATCGCAGGCCAGGCCTAGGGACCCTACCCATGCACGAATTTCATATGCCAGTCCTCTACTATTGTCATAAAACCGTAGAAACCAGAAACATGGTTATGCTCTAGGAACTGTTATTAAAGTTTGAATTGGTCAGTTCTTGACTACATGTAACAAAATTGACTAAAGCTAGTTTAAACCCAAAGGTTTTATTAAGGTATATAGGTAGCTCACAGAATAACTGCCTGATCTTCCCAGAAGTACATCCCAAAGCCACACTACAGAACTGGACCATCAAGGATTTTTTTGCCTGTGCCTGGGATCAGGAACCTGCTGAATGATCCCGTCCACCTCTGCCACATTTCATATGAGCACATCTGCTTCCCTTCCCATGTAATGCAGCTCCAAAGTAAAGGCTTACTTTAGTGCATCTAGGATGTTATTTAGGAAAGAACTTAAATGACATCAAAAACTCTTAACTAAAAAGGAATCTGGGAAATGTAGTTCATAGCTTTCCAGCCTATGCAGGTCAGGAAGACACACTAGGAAGACGTCGGAGTGTTAGGCTAGTTCTCTACCTGCACATGTTTACACCTTTATCAATAAAGAATTTTCAATGTTCAAAGCAGTAAACTACAACTAAGGAAATTGTAAAGAGTAGAAAAATTATCTCAAGAATTTAGAAAGACAATATTTTAATACTTTCTGGAGAAAATATATTTATGGCATTTTATTTTTAACTAGAGGCCCGGTGCATGAAATGAGTGCAAGAGTAGGCCTTCCTCTCGACCCCCCACCCCTCCCGCTGCTGGCACAAGCTTCCCTCTGGCAACCAGGACCCAGGCATTCCTTGCAGCCCTGGCTTTGTCTGGAAGGTCGTCTGGAAGGACATCCGGTCTAATTAGCATATCATGCTTTTATTATAGATATTTTCCATGTTTTTGTTGTTTTTAGAATCCATAATCTCTGATTTTTATTAAAATTGTCGTAAAGTATCATCCTATGGAGATAATTTCAAAAGTTTCATCACATACAAAAACTATGAGAAGTTTTCATAAGATAACATTTACCCTCAAACTATCATATTAATGTCCCCAAATTGATTGGACTCAAAGCTCATAGAGACTGTTTAATAAAATGCCTAACAGCAGTTTACCAGTTTACATTGAGAACTGTAACAGAAGCAGACCAAACAGTTACATCAGCCTAACCCAGTGGTTCTCAACCTTCCTAATGCCACGACCCTTTAATACAGTTCCTTATGTTGTGGTGACCCCCAACCATAAAGTTATTTTCGTTGCTACTTCATAACTAATTTTGCTATTATTATGAATCGTAATGTAAATATCTGATATGCAGGATGTATTTTCATTGTTACAAATGAACATAAAAGCCCTGACCGGTTTGGATCAGTGGATAGAGCATCGGCTTGCGGACCGAAGGGTCCCGGGGTTCGATTTGGTCAAGGGCATGTACCTTGGTTGCAGGCACATCCCCAGTAGGGGGTGTGCAGGAGGCAGCTGATTGGTGTTTCTAACTCTCTATCCCTCTCCCTTCCCCTCTGTAAAAACTCAATAAAAATATATTTTTAAAAAAACAAAAACCAAATTGAACATAAAGCATAGTGATTAATAACAAAAACAATATGTAATTACATAAGTGTTTTTCCAATGGTCTTAGGCGACCCCTGTGAAAGGGTCATTCGACCCCCAAAGGGGTCGTGACCCACAGGTTGAGAACCACTGGCCTAACCACTTTACATTTTCTGTCTGAAGTTTAACAAGGTGACAATTTATCAAAAAGATACTTTGTGAGCATGGAGTCAGTCAGTTTCTAAGAACTCAGATGTGGCTCTTTTCTCTGTGTGTTCTCTCCAAGTGTCACAGAGTCCTTTGAGGGAGATAATTATTGTACATGGGGAATCTTTATTACTGCCCACTCACCTGCTGCATACTAACCTGGACTACCCCTCCATTTCAAACTTAAGATGTCTTCTCCCTACTCGATCTGCTCTGTTCTTCCACCTGAAACCCACTTAAAACCTTTGTTCAGTCTGTTCTTTTTTTTTTAAGTTTTTAATATATTTTATTGTTTTGTTGGTTTTTTTTTACAGAGAGGAAGGGAGAGGGATAGAGAGTTAGAAACATCAATGAGACAGAAACATCACAGTCCCAACTGGGGATGTGCCCGCAACCAAGGTAAAGGTCCCTTCAGTCTGCAGGCCTACGCTCTATCCACTGAGCAAACCGGTTAGGGCTGTTCAGTCAGTTCTGCTAGAACATGATGCTGTGTTCCTACATCACATGGCCATGCAAAATCACGAATGAAAACCAGGGGCTTATGGTAAACATGGGGTTAGAGATACAACGCTCAAAAATGTCATCAGTTAAAAAAAAAAAAAAAAGGAAAATGGCAGTACAGCTTTACGCTTTATGGCTGTTTACCTTGGAAAACACCTGAAGCTTGCTGTGGAGGTGGGCATTGGGAGGGCTGCAGCTTGTGAGTTATTGTGAAGTGTTGGAGAATTAGCCGAAATTGATTGGAAAGTTGCAACACCAGGTGTGGATGCATGTGGCTCAAACACACGGGATGAACTGAAGACACTGTAAGAGGTGAGGGGAGTGCACGTGTGTGTGAGATCATTCCTGTGCAGTGAGCTCCGCTGGTGCAGTTCTCTGCATTCACCTGTTGTTTCTCCAGGATGAAATCATACACACAAATGGGAAATTACACAATACTCAAATGATTTCCCAATACATCAAACATGCTGAAATATATATATACATATATATATTTAAATGTATTATAGCAGAACTGACTGCACTTAACTTTATTCATTTCTTTCCTTAATTTCCTGTCTTGTCAGTTTCATCCTGATTGCTTTTCTGTTCAAAGTTCTCATGTTCAAAGTTTCTCATATCACCCATTTTCTTTTAAAAAAAATTATTTAATAGGCTTGTTTCCCATCCCAGGGCTCCTCCTTTGGGGCGTTTGAATGCGGAAAGGTCAGCTTTTCTGCTCCGACTTTCCCTTCCAACCCGTGGTTCTCAACCTGCAGGGCATCAGCATCGCCCAGAGGCCTGGCTAAGCGGACTGGTAGACTCCGCCATGGGATGGCGCCGAGAATGTCGGCGTCTAATGGTTTCCCTGGAGATGGGAAGCATCAGCACCGGGTCTGAGGGCCACTCTTTGTAAACCGCTGACCGGGACCCTCTCGGCCGTACCCAGCACCGGGTTGTGCGTCTGGTCCAAGACAGTGATAGGTCAACACATCCGTCCTCACAGGTTTGTGGAGAAGCTAGAGGAGGAGTCTGACCCCGACGGTGCACGGGGTCTGGAAGCATCGGGCCTCCAGGTGTCCGGCGGGCGGTGGACACCAGGGGGCGCCAGGGGGCAGCCTCGCATTGTCCTG